TGAGGAAGAAATGTTTCCCTGTGCGGGTGGTGAGCCCCTGGGGCAGGTTGCCCCGAGAAGCTGTGGCTGCCCCATCCCTGGAGGTGTTCAAGGCCAGGTTGGACGGGGCTTGGAGCAACCTGGGCTGGTGGGAGGTGTCCCTGCCCAGGGCAGGGAGGGTTGGAACTCAATGATCTTTACGATCCCTTTCAACCTAAACCATTCTGTGATGACCTACATAGACCATGGAAGGTGGGTTCTATTGCCCCACCTGCCAAAAGAGGATGGCACCTGCTTTTTCTACCTTTCAGGGGAGTATCTTAATGACTTTAATAGTGGATCCAGCACAGGCGATCTTATTCCTTCCTATTGATGCTAATTCATTCTGTATTCCTAATTAGCCACCAGATCCGGATTGGCCACTTAAGGACCCCTTCTCTGGATGATCATTGGCTTATGTTGTTCTCCAGCTCATGAACTTGAACATCTCCATCCTTGAAGCTATCTAAACCTTGGCTGGACCCTGAGCAACCGGATTGACATTGCCTGCATGCATTAAGCTCTTTGCTGCCTGCCAGTGCTGAGCCATGGTGGCTCTCAACCAACTCCTGTGGCACACTGGCACCTGGGATGTTCCTTGTGCCGGTGAGGTGAAGCTGTGGGGATCACACCAATAAAGATGAGGAGCACCTATGCACAAGTGCTGTTGGAGAAGACCAGAGAGAGAGAACTCACCCCACAGTGCGTTCCCACATCACATCGCCACATCCCACCTCACTGGCGACGGAGCATGTCCTACTCCAGCTTTGCCAAGACCAGCAGCTTCAGCTGTGGTGGCTGCGGGATGACAACCCCTGACAGAGCAGGGTACCATCTCAAACCACCACTGCACCTTGATAAATTAACACATACCAAAACCCCAAGGCACTTTTTTTGGTATAACCTATCTCATTCAGGAAGCCGATGTAAGTTGGTGTTACCAGCCTGAAATGCCAAAAACACCTTATTCACTGTCTTCTCAGCCCTCGCAGTCGCAGACGGGCCACAGACCATCTCAGCTTTGATGCTGTGAGAGTTGCCAAAAGCTCTATCGAGTTGATTTGACCATATCTACAAGAGGCAAAAAGAGTTTTGTTAAATAGTCTAGACTTAACACAGCCTTGCTTATTTTATCAGCAGCTGTTTGCTAAATCTTTTGTACTTACAATAACAAAACCCCCAGCTCCGCAGCACTTCACGGAGCAGACCTGAGCCCTGATCCTAAACTTTTCCTCATGCATGTTTTTTGAACAAATTACCTTCTTTCTGCTTTGGATTTAAGCATGCGTGTTCCCCTTTCCATTTTTCTTTTTCAAAATAAAAGAACAAGGAAGGGGGAATTGTGGTTTAGGGTTTGGTTGTTGCGTTTTTTTGTTGTTGTTGAGAACAAACAGAAGCAGATTATCATTCCAGTTTGGAAAAGAAAGTATTTTCCTTTTGAGTTTTATTTGCCTGTTCAAAAGACCCTTTTCTTTTTATTTAAATCCACCTTTTGTTATTCTCTAATCAGAGTGAAAAAAAATCTGATAGCTAATACATAACAAAGTGCTGACTAACAAAAATTATTCTCGTCTGGTTTTTGGCTCATCTGAGCTGAAATGGCTCTTCCCACGTTGTTTATTTGATTACGACACGTTGGCCCTCATAAGCCTCCTTCCCTGAACATCCCCAGGAAGAGAAGGTGACGCTTGAGGCAGTGAAACATTTGCAAGTGTCATTTCGTATCTCAAGGGTACTTTCAGGAACAACAGCTCCATCTGCAAAGTCTGCATCCCCAAAGATGTGGCAGAGATTTCCAAGTCAGAAATACCCCCATACCCGGCTGCTGGGCACAAAAACCTGCCGATGCCGAGCAGTTGCCCTTCCTCCCGGGGCTCTGCCGCGCACCCCAGGGCCGGACCTTCCCACGGCCCCAGGAGCTGTCGGGTGCTCAGCTCTCACCATAACTCGTATTTCCCTGCAAAGGTCAAGGAGCCTCCTAGAAGGGAAGGGTATGCAGAGATCTCACCTTGCACACACAAGCTCTGCTAGTTTCTCTCCTCCTCGACCCAGCGTGAAACCAATTTTGGATTTACAGCATCAAAACCTGCTTTTTTACTCACAGAAGCAGTTCAATTAATCGCTATAGGTCTCCATGTCGTGCCCTCTGGGACCAAGCTCATGAATATCATGACTGTATAACTTTTTCCTGCTCTCAGGTCAGCTACTCTGCAAAGGACCCGGGTGGTCCCTGCCCTCCTCGTGGAGATACGGAGCCTCCTCCTGTGCCTCCCGCCTGCTCAGGAATTACTCGACTCAAACTCTGTACTTGAAATAAATCAACTTTTAATATTTTACAATTACCTTAAAAGTTTTCTGAACAGTATTTTACAGATCAGCACAGACATTACACAGATTTGGTGAGGCTGCACATATGTACAAGGATGACCTGAAAGAACCTTGGACTTCTTTAATTTCCAGAAAGCATCAGAGGTCAAAAGCTTAGCCAGGATTATGAGTCCCTAGAGATTGTGCTTGTTTTTCTCTATGAGATGGAAATTCTCTTCTCTAGTAATTCTGTAGGGTCAGCTGAAACCAAAGAGGTTCATATCATTAAGAGCTGCAGGGCTATATTTAGCCACGGATATCAAGATCACAAATAGCAATGTTTTGACAGGATAAGGTGCTATTTTAAAGTATTGAATAAAAAAACCCAGCTGTCAAATTTCAGCCCCATATGAGAAGATGCACATAAACCTGTTCGGGAAATGAAAAGTCAGTGGGAAAACTTTTTCCGAGTGCGTGGTAAGAGCTATTAAAATCTGTTTCTGATCCCTGGAGCCTACTGGACTTAAAATACTGCTGTGCAGAAATGTACAGCAGTGACCTCAGCGCGCATTCCCACATCACCCCGTGAGAGATGGGACAGCCCACCATGACCTGGCAGTGTCTGGGTGTCCCTGTCGAGTCTGTGCTGCGAGCAAGGGATGGACACTGCTCCATGCATGTAAGAAAAGACAGGTGCTCCCGGAGTCGGTGCGTGACCAGGGAAGGTGGGTCCTCACCAGGAGTCAAGCTGGCTTTGCATCATGGTGGAACCAGAGCGCCTACATATGTTCAAGTGATGCTTTTCCCTGCACGAGGGACTTTTCTTGGAGTCCGCAAGACAACACCATCCTTGGGATGGTTTATTCAAGTAAAAGGATGAAGCACAGAGACCTCGGGAGCATGTTCATGTCTTGTTCCTGCGCATCTCTGGCCACTGGGAGAAGACGCATCCACAGCTGCTGAGGACACCAAAGAGCCGGCTGGTACCTTCTTAACCTGAGATATCCCCACACAACAGAGGCAGTGGGACCAGGATCAGAGTTGCCAGCACAGGAGGGATCCCCAGAACACTTCCAGGAGGGATGTGGAAAAATCCAGCAGACAAGCCTGACCCACACTCCTCTGAGACAACTGAAGCCCCCAGGAGCTTTGGGCCTTTTCCTGGCAGATTTAACCTCAAATGACACCGCTGCTGTGCCACCACCCCTCGGGGACAGAGCCCAACATTGTTCTAATTAGTGCTAAGAGCTAACCAGGTCCTGTTTTCTGGAGGATCAAGGGGCCCACACTGAACGGATTGCACCACGGCTGAGCCCTGCAGCCCCCAGCTGTATCAGGGGTCCCTTCCAGACATTTTCCAGGGGGCATGTGCCCTTGGCATAAAGATGCTTTTAGCCCACAGCAGGCAGCATGCTCTTCTGCCTGTTATCATTAGTGCAATCACCAGAAACTACTGAGAAACAGCTGCAGGGCTATGAAACCGGGCAAGGCTTCTCCAGTCTCATTTTTTGCTCCCGGGGTCAGAATACCTCTAAATACCCCCAACTATTGCACCTTTCTGTACCTACAGCCTGGCAGAGAAGGAAGAAGGCATAAAGCCTCTTTGCAGGGGAGGAGGATCTCAAATCCTGCTATCGCTTGCGAGTGTCACTAGTGTTTTTGGTGCTGGGTCCCTCTCTAGCAAAGCCGCCTCTTCGGGTGAGCTTAAGGCAATCCTACTGGTTTCCCCAGTACGTCCCTCCCTCCTGTGAGCGTGAGCGTGGCTCCTGCCATATTTCAAGCAACTGTTGAGGATTCAGCCTCTGGGATGTCTCTAGCGCACAGTGCTGGGAGCGTGATGCAAGAACACGGGCTGAACAAGGAGTACATCTCCCGGGTGAGCTCTGAAATTCTGCAGAAATAGGAAGTTCATCTCCTGCAGGTCCTGGGTTTACAGTAAACGCACATATACACGACAAGCTGTCCATGCCCTGGTACGGCCTATTGCACTCAATTCACTGGAATGCAAGCAGCAGTCTACAACCCATGCTGGGCTCTTTCTGGGCCTCAGTTGGGTTGCTCTGCTCTGCACCGGTTCTCTGCAAGACAACCAACCTTCCTAAGTAAGAAGAAACCTTGAGGAAGCCTGTCCCCATCCCTAAAGAACTGTCCTGAGCACCCTTGACCTGTTATGGGTGAAGTGCCATCAGGACATTGGTTGGTCAGTCTGCAACTCTGCATGCATTGAAAGCCACCTACCACCACTCAGCCAAGGACATTCATTTTCCAAAATATCTCCCTGTGAGCTCTGCCCAGATCACACGGGCCTTGCAGTCACTGTCAAATACAGCCACAAGACCATTTGCTGGCAGGAAAATATCACTGTCCTTGACTTGCCCTCTCAATGGAGGTGACAGCAGTCTGCTGAAGCAGGTGGAGATCTCAAGGAGACCGCTTTCCTCCCATTGCTGAGGAACCCTGAGAGGTACCAGAGCATAACACCAATGTTCTTGTTTCCCAAGGATGGACTAAGCCCGGACCATGAGCAGCTCAGCCACCATGCTAACACTTCAGGCTGCAGTATGTCTTGGACAAGAACGGATGGGTCTCCAGCCCAAAGGAGGACAGTCAACTTCCTTTTCCTGAGGCTGTTTTGGTGTTGGATGTAGTCTGGCCTGAGACAACACAGAGTTCTTCTATGGCAGTGCTCCACTGAAGGTGGCAATGGGTAAACACAGGAGAGAATGAAACTCAGAGGGGTCCTGGGGAGGCAAAGTGGACCTTCTCAGTGCAAAGGGATCGCTGTCCCTGGGTTTGTAGCACACAGAGATCTCACATCTGCAGGGAACAAAAAGAAACCAGGATTAAGTAAGGTATGTGGCTGAAAATCACGGTCCTCAGGTGCAGCAGAAATATCTGCAAACAAACAGGAATTAGTGCAGTCTTTAATAGGACTGGAGTTTGAGTGATGAGAGTTCAAGTCTTTAAGCTGACTTAAACTGGGACCTAGAGCAGACATCCATAAAGAGTAATTTCTGGAACTCATTAGGGAAAATGAGAAATTTTGCATCCCCCAAGTTTTGGGGAGAGGGAAGTAGCTCCTTTTCCATTTCGTGTATTGAACTCTTCCATTAGCCCCTTGAGTTGCACAACAAACAAGTTAAGTAAAACACTTCTCTTTAGGGTTATTTAAGAAATAAGATCCTACATCTGTTTGCACTGGAGGCAGCATAACTTTGCAGAGTTCTGCTCTCTCTGAAGGAGAAATTAAAACGCTTGCACATTTTTAAGACTCGTGGATCAACTGGTTTGATCTCTTTGTGCTCATGGAAGTATGTTGTCTACAGTGAGTTTTCAAATTCCATCACCTGGGGAGCCAGCTTGGTGCCCTGGGGACATGACTGATGGAAGAACAATCAAGAGAACAATTCTTGCACTACTCCAGTCTCTCCCATGAGGATCATGGGTTCCTTCTGCAATGGGTATGCCAAAGGTGGTGGAGAACCCAAACGAGGTTTAGAAGTTGAAGGCACTGCTCATATGTCCAGTGCTCTTCAGACACCTCATTTATGTTGCGTACCTCTCCTCTGGTCTTACTGAAAGTGCTGTCTTTCCAGAGTTCAACAGTTGACTGGGGACCACCCTTTAGACAGTGGCAGTGATGAAGCTTAAACTGCACTACAGAGCTTGGAGTTATGTCACCCGGCTTTGGGCATATGGCTTAGACCCACAACGGTGCTCAGGACCTTGTTCCCTCTTCGGCCACCCACGCTTCATGGACAAGTCCTTACACACAGGATGCACCATCCCAGGAGCGCTGACTGCAGTGGGCAGCCGGCCACGTTGCAGTTCCTACCTGGTTACACTCTGCAAGATCTTCTGCTCATCCTGGTCCAGGCACACGGCGAAGGAGGACTGGAGACCGATAATCTGGACCTTGTCTACTTTTATCTGGGACACGCTGATCTGCTGGTAGAAAAAAAGTCCGTGTGAGGGAGCTGCCAGGCTCAGTGCATTACCCCTGCGCAGGGAAGGGGAGCAAGGGAGCTGGGTGCTCCCCTGGTGGCCAACAGCAAACGGATCCCCCAAGGAGCTACTGTCTCCTGCCCTGCTTCCATCCCAGCTGACTCAGGCTGACATCCTGTTACCAAATGTAAAAGCACCATGATTCGAGTTACCTGATTGAAACTTTTTTTGGATTTGGAATTTTGCCTTTTGACCACCTCCGTCACGGTCAAGTTGAGGCACTCTGTCTTTGAGGCTGGAATAAAAGAAAACTGTTATCACTTGGGGTTTCTGGGCCGCTGGTAGGAACCCAAGCGGTGCCTCCACCCCTCAAAGCATCCCAGAGACAGCGCTTCTCAGCAGGACCCCACTGTCAAGGGAAATACCATACAGTTCCGGCTTTCCTTCCCCAAGGCTAACCTACACGGGAAGAAAGCAATCAGAGAGACACAAGTAAACTTCTGAGTAATTTCTAACTGCTTTCTAAACATAGCAGCAAAGGGCGTTTAACCATCTTAGGACCTAAACAGAAGAAAACCCATTGCCCCATTGTCATTCCAGCTCTCCCAGCATGGCCTTTCCTACAGTCCACCTGGAGATGCTTTATCGTGTCTGGAATTACAGTGACATCCTGTGGTCAAACTGTTAAGTGTGGAAACCAACAGAGACAATCAAGAGGAGCAGGTTTGCTTGGAAGGAGGAGATTCATGAAGCAGAAGCTTCTCCCCAACGTGGAACTGAGGACACTCCCTGAACCCAACCCACAGCGTTGGCAGCACAAGCGAAGCTCCTGAACCAGTGCAGAAACATCCAACTCAAAATGTAAAGAGGAGGAGAGAAATTAATTCCTGCTGGGTTTTTTCCAGGGTTGCCTGCATGACTTCATGGATGGGGCAGCAACAGGAGGGACAGAGGCTTAGACTGAGCTCCGTGGGGCGTGTAGGAGCTGTCTCCTATTTGGTAGATGACCCATTTGCCACGACTACTCTGCTCACAAACCACACATCTGTCAGACACAAAGCACACAAGGAAAGAGGAACTGAAAAAAACCCCTCAGTTTACTCAGAACTGGGTGTCTGACTGCCAAAACGGCAGTTCTCAAGCAAGAATGAACAGGTATTGCTTCTAAATACGCACACAGACTAAAAGTCTTGCTGCTTTTAAAAGGCTCAAAGCTTTATTAATATCCCATCGGAAACCTGATTAGTTATGAAGAAAAACCATGTGGCAGCCAGTTATCTCTGAGCTGCAGGAAGGAAACTGGGCTGAAGCGGCAGCTTAGCAAGAGCCCGCTGAAAGCGGCTGTGGACGGCAGGACAAGCACCCCCTCCTTTGGTCCCACTTCATTTAACAACAGTTTTACCTGTTTCTCCTCACGAAACAAGCGTTGTTCTGGAAAGCACCGCTCTGCAGTGACCGTCCTGCTATTTGGACCATCCCATCCCTGTCCCTAATGGACATCCCATTTCCCTGGTTGGAGGCTTTAGGACAATGGGAAATCAAATGCCCTTCGGCCCTGATGTGGTGCTAAGGACAACCAAGGACTACAGGATCCCACAGGGACACCAGGCACTTTCCATGGATCTTCTCCTTCATTCACACATCCCTGCTTTGCTCCAGCTAGAAGATTCACACCATCCTCTTGCTCCACCAGTTCCTCCCAGTGCTCCCTACACAAAGCCACAAAGTCCACCTCTACCCACCTAGTTCTTCATACTTCTTGCAGGCTTTGCTAAGGTTGATGGATGTGCAGACCTTCTCAACATCGTTCCAGTGACTTCTTCCACTGGCGGCTGTCTGCAGAGACCAAGCAAAGCCCATGAGATGCCACGCTCCAGGCTGATGTTGCCCTGCCTCCCACCCCTAACCATCTGGCTGGAGGAGCTCACATCTGGATTTACCTGGAGCTGCACAGACAAAGTTTCAGGAGGCATTAAAATTCATTTAACTTCAGATTTACAAAAACCGCCCAGGCTTAACACTAAATAACTGCAGAGGAACCAACAAAATAGGAGGACTGCTGTAACCAGAAGATGATCACTCCTTGGAAGCAAAGTTCACCAGTGTAAAATGGCACCCAGTACACATCCAGTCTACGGAAACTGGCTGCACATTCCCTATTTTACTGGGCTGAACATGAGCCAGCAGTGTGCCCAGGTGGCCAAGAAGGCCAACAACGTCCTGGCTTGTATCAGGAACAGTGTGGCCAGCAGGACTGGGGCAGTGATTGTCCCACTGTACTCGGCACTGGTGAGGCCACACCTCGAGTACTGTGTTCAGTTTTGGGCACTGCAGTATAAGGACATTGAGGTGCTGGAGAGGGTCCAGAGAAGAGCAACAAAGCTGGCGAAGGGTATTAAGAAAAAGTCTCATGAGAACCAGCTGAGGGACTTGGGGTTGTTTAGTCTGAAGAAAAGGAGGCTGAGGGGAGGCCTTCTTGCTCTCTACAGCTCCCTGAAAGGAGAGATGGGCATTGGTCTCCTCTCACAAGTTACGACTGATAGGACAAGAGGAAATGGTGTCAAGTTGTGCCAGGGGAGGTTTAGGTGAGACATTAGGAAATACTTCGACACTGAAAGGACTATCAAAGACTGGCACAGGCTGCCCAGGGAAGGGCTTGAATCACCATCCTTGGATGTATCTAAAAGCCGTCTAGATGTGGTGTTCAGGGACGCAGTTTAGAAATGGGCCTGGTAGAGTTAGATAATGGTTGGACTTGATGATCTTAAAGGTCTTTTCCAGCCATAAGGATTCTATGATTCCATGAGTGGAAAGCCACTCTCAATTAGCCACTAAGTACACAATGTGGCTTGTCTGGGCTTGGATCCGGGCTTCTCCAGCACACCGTGAGTGTTTGCCTCTCTCGGCTCCCAGCAGAGACGTGTTTGCCCACCACTGAAGTGGTTTTCTGCCCCATTTGTCTTTGTGCAAGTCCCGCGGGCTCACCTTGCTGTAGGCGATCTGTAGTGTTAGTGGGATTGCTTCTCTGTCTCCGTCTATGCCCAGCCGTTTGCTGCCTGGACCTGCACAAAACAAGGAGCAAATGTCACACGGTGGCCTTTTATCCCCATTCATCGACGGGCTACCGATACAGCAGCACACTCGGTACCTACAGAAAGGGGGGAAAAAAAAAACCAAACAAAAAACGGTTTGCTGAACACAGCTGTGGAGCAAAAAAAAAAGGCAAAAAGAAAAGGTGGCTTAAAAGCTGCCAGAAAGCAATTAATCCAGTGCAGAAATTTCAACACAAAGCACAACAAGCAGCTCTGCAAAACTGAAAGCGGTGCCGGCTAAGCCGGTGCAGAGGGGTCAGCGCTCCAGGGAAAACACAAAGCAATAAAAGGCCGTATTGCTAACCCAGCTCCTGTTTTTCCGGGCATATTTGTGCCCACATTAAATTAGCCTTGAAATACTGTGCCCGACACTTACTAACTTTTTTTTTTCCCCCTGGATAATTTTTTGCAGATGTTAAGTGGTGCGCTGCCAGATAACCCAAGGAAAAAAAAAATTAAAAAAATAAAATAAAATCAAAGTCAGAAAGGATTGGTGGTTTCATGAGTTATTGGGAAGAGGTCTTGGCCAAGCCTGTATTTTGGGGGAGTGGGGTGGTGGTGACACTTCATATGGAGGATATTTTACGAGCTCTGTTTAGAAAGACAAGGCGAGATCACAGAAAAGCAATTGGTTAAAAAAAAAAAAGTTAAGCAACATGTTTAAATGCAGTATTGTTGGTTGGCCATGAGATGTCTCTGTGAGCTGCACCGCACCAGACAGCGTGTTGTCCTTGGTGGTACCCAGGAGAGCTGGAGAGCACGCTGCAAGCAGATGCTCCTGCCATCACCTCTTGTCTCTACTAATTTTATAAATTCCTAGCGTAAAAGCTCATGGATCTCCCTTGCAGGATGGCTACAAGCACAGGCATGAACCTTGCTTTGCCCAGTAAACTAAATAAAATGGAAAGAGGGTATTTATAAATGACACTCCTGGACAAAGCACAAACAGAAAGCAGCAAAAAGAAGAGATGAAGAGCTGCGCTTGGCCAGGTGCTGCCGAGAGGAAGGAAATGGGCTTGAAGCTGTTTCATTGCAAACACGTTTTAGAGTTAACAGCAGTAAAAACAACGCGGCATTGTCACAGCTTCGCTCTTGAAGAGGAATGCGAGCACCACGATGCCTCACTTCCAAATTTGTGAAAAGATGTCTGGATCTTTGCTCAGGACGCAGACCGAGCTCGGACACCTCTTCCAGCCCATGCTCCCTCCAGCCTCTCTTCTCCATTTCTCCCCCAGCCCCGCGGTTTGCAGACCTCCACCCCGAAGCTGTGGGTGCAGAAGCAGCTACAGACCTGACGCTTTGATGGCCCGCGTGGCCGCCGAGTGGCCCAGCTCCAGAGAGTGGATGAAGACTTCGGTCATCTTTTCTCCCCCGATGAAGGTGAGCTGCCAGGGGGAGACGAGAGGAGACGTGGTGGTGAGGAGACCGAGCCCGTGCCAGGCAACGCTCACCCTTCTCACTGCTTTCGACAGAAAACAGGTCAGTTTGGGAAAATCCTTTCACATTTTCAAAATACACCTTTCAACCACTGCCTTGGGCGACACTTGCCTTTAGCTGTACTTGTGACTGTTTTAAAAGACCACCAGCAAGTAAAACAGCCCAAACCCCTAATTTTCATTTAAAGAAAACTCCACAACCCACTGGAAAGAAAACCCACGTGAGCCTAACATCTGAGCATCGCTTTGGGCAACACAAATCCTCCTAATGGCAGTGACTCTGCTCACCACGGCCCCACTGCAGCCCATCCTGTGCCACCACACCAAAGCAGTGGTTGCAGCCGTGCATTCAACCTTCCCCGCCACGTCTGCCCCGTGCACACAACGGGGCATGGAAAATAGGCTTCATGGAGGGGTTTGGTTTAGAAAGCAGAGCACTGGAGGGATTTCCAGCAACGCGAGTTACCTGTCAGCACTGACAGGAGTCACTTTGTGTCATGGGAAATGGTATTTGGATGGAAAAGTGCTTGTGTGACTTAAGGATTGCTCAGTCCTTGAGCCAGGAGCACCAGCCAAAGCACCATGGGCACCTGGGGAATAAGAAGAGACCGAGCTCTGCCCCACCAGCACATGGTGGCTGTGCTATATCCCCATCCGCTTCCCAGGCAGGTCCTGAGTTGGTGGCAGAGGCAGAAGACCCCCCTTTTCCCCTCGCCAAGATGGGGCTGAGCCCCTTCACCTACCTCTGTCTGGTAGAGCTGCAGCAGGACGGGGCGCGTGGCGAAGCGGCAGTAGTAGAGGATCATGTCAGCCAGGATGGGCAGCTGCTCCTGGGAGTCCTCCTGGGCTTCAGCCTCCGGCTTGGCAGACTGCGGCAAGAAAATAAGCCACAAACCTGATGGGGGACGTGGTACTCACTGCCCGGTGCCAAGAACTGCCTGTCCCACCCCACCAGGGATGGAAACCTTCCTCCCAGCCACCATCTCCATCCCATGTCCACGTAGCACAGCCTGCTGTAAAGGATCGTGGTGGTTCAGAAGCTCTCCACTGAGCTGCCCTGTACCTGGGGGAAGGGGGACGCCAAGCCCCAGCAGCTGGCATGCACATACCTGACACAGGACATCCATGGGCAGGTTCATCAGCCCAAGAACGTTGCGCTCGTACCATGGGTCCAGCATGCCAATGTAGTGGGAGATGTCATTGGTGCTGCTCTCCATCCCAGCCAAGGTGGGATCCTGAAAACGGACACATGGGGTCACCCCCCAGGCTCCTCAACCCATGCTTGGGGCTGGTGGAAGAGACACCGACGCTCCCCTCAGCCTGCCTGCCGGTTTCCTCACACACCACTCTCAGGGCCAAGCAGAGCACTGGTGGCACCATGAACCCCACGGCGAGCAGGACACCTACCGCCTGTGCCGAGGCTCGGAGCTGTGGGTCCCCCAGGGACGGGGAGGGATGCATCAGTGGGGTTGATGGAGCCACGCAGCTCCTCTTCACAGGGACGTAGAAAAACTGCAGCTTGAAGTACCTTGTCAGTGAGGGGCAGGTGCTCTCCTTGAGCCTAGGAGAAGGTAGGAGAAGGCTGGGTGAGCCAAGTCCTCCAGCGTGTCCCAGGTACCTGCAGCCGGGTCCCCCACACCACCGGCTCACCTGAGGTTGCTGTAGGCTCGGGCGACTTTCCCTGAGATGCGGTCAGAGCCGAAGACCACGATGCGCAGCGTGGACACCTTGGCGTCCTCGTCGTAGCTGAGGAAGGGCCGTCGGTGGAGGCTGAGGTGCCGCGGGGCGAGCGGGGCCGGCAGCCGCTGGCTCAGGACGTGTTGTGGCAGCGAGTGAGCACGCCGAGAGCGCGCTGGGATGCGGTGCTTGGCCTGGGGGGTGTACAAGCTCTCGGCTCGGCGCAGGGGCAGTGGGAGTGAGCCCGTGTCCGGGCAGTCCTTCAGGTCCCTCCTCAAGACCAGCTGGCTTTTGCTTTTGAACAGTTTGTAGATCTTGTTGGTCAGCGTGTGTCTGTATTTGTGATGGGTCTTCTCCACCTTCAGCTCCGGCCTCCCCACCATGTCCAGGGAGCTCTCGTCGCTGTCCTCCGCATACCCGCTGTCCATGCAGTCCTTCAGGCTGGAGACAAACGACTTCAGGGACTTTCTGGAGACCACCGTCAGCTCTGAGATGGAGTCCTTGGAGGTGGCGAAGAGGGACACTCGTGAGGGCTTAGAACCCTCCTCCGACAGCGCCGAGTACACAGAGTCTTTGGAAATGGCGCAGATGGGGGAAAGCAGCGAGTCCCGCTCAGGAGAACAGCCATCGGTTTCCACCTCCTCTTCCTCCTCCTCTTCGTCCTCCTCCTCGTTCTCCGAGGCCATGGGCTCGACAACACTGCACTCTTTGCTGAGGACATCATTGAGGATATCTGAAAGGCAACCGGAGGGAAATCGTGTCTGGCACGGGCTCCAGCATAACCACTGGAAATGTCACGACTCCAGACAACAACAGTACTACAGCATGGTCAACGCTCGCTTTGATCCTGCACGGTTTCAAACAAGGAGCTGAAAACCTCCTACTGAATGTTTTTAGATTTCCATAAGGCGCTCAGATGCAATGCAAAACAAAACGTGTTTCTCTCCTTGAGGTCACATTCTGTTTGAGTTCTCGAAAGGCAAACACCAGTTGGGGTTTTGCTTCCTTCCTACACAGATTTCACAACGGGCTCACGTCCGATTTGGGTTTAACTGGAGGGCAGGAGGAAAGCAAGGTATTTGGCTAATCAAACCCCAAATCGCCCCCCTGTGGGTGGCCTCCCAGCAAGGCTGGACTCACTGCAAAGCCCAAGGCAGAGCTCTGGTCCAGCTTGCTGAGGCCAGCAGGCAACAAACACCAAACCTTCACGGGAACAGAAAAGGTCTTCCAAGAATGGAGAAGCTGAAGAGACCAGCTCAGCAGAAGGAGAAGCCACCACTTCCCCTGCAAAACTGCTGTGGTCGGGCTGAGAGCACAGCACCCACCAAAGCCACCCCTGCTGTAACGTCCGAGGGGTCTCAACCCCAAAAAGTCCTGACATCTCAGTGTGGTCAGGCTTTTCCAGCAACAATTATTTCCAGGGCACGAGCAAGGTTTACTCCTTGCAGAGGAGCTTTCTATCAAACAAGGTCTCCACCCTACCGCTGTCCCCACGGACTCAGGTGCAACAAACCTCTTCCAGCTTAACACAAGGCAAAACGTTGCCCAGGAGATTAAGCCCTGCATGATTTGTCGCTGGTGACACATGTTTTAGGGCCACCGATGTCTTGTCCCCACCACTCGGATGAGGGCTTTGCTTGGGATCACAGCAGGCATCGTGCCCGACCTGATATCCATGTCCCCTCCTGCCCAGGGGACACTGGCGCCCACTGCATTATCTCTCCCATCACCACCGCCAATTTGTTACCAGCTCTTTCAGGCTCCGGACACAGTTTGTGCCACACATGGCAGTGCCAGCGGCGTTGAAACGCTGCTCAGCCGCCCCTGCGACGGGCTGTGGTGTCTCTAGGAGGGATGGGGGACCCCCTCCGCTTACCAAAGTTATCCTGGTCCCAGCTGTAAGTGTAGCAGCGAGCGGCGGGGATGGGGATGGTGTGGAGCTTGCGGGGTTGAGCCTCACCTGGGGAGAGAGGAGGGAGAGGAGTTAGTTTGCAGGGAACCCCCATACCGCTCCCCATGGCTCTCCCGGCTGGTGGGAGATGCCGCCCACCCCATGGACGTGTTTTGGGCAGCCCAGGTCACGCAGAGCACTGACGCTGCTGTCATTATCCCCGCGAAGTCACGGGCAGTTGGGACGAGAGGATATTTCACACCTCTAAGAGCCATCAGACATCACTGCTGCCATCGGTTTCAGATTCAATGCTTTCATCTCGCCTGCAAAGGCTGGAGAAATTTTTTTTGGTGCTGTTTTAATGAAAGATGAGAAACAATTTCTGGCTCATCCCGTGGTTATGAAATTGGACCTGGGTTGTTGGTTTGTGGGGTTTTTTTTGTTGTAGCTGTTGTTGCACTAGGTTGAAACTTTGCACAAAAGAGGTTTTCGCACCACAACGAGCTGGCTCCCAGCACCCGCAGCGCAGGGGAGTGCCTCGCCACTGCAGAGGCCGAGCTGGAGAAAAACCCTGGAGGAAAGAGGGGCCCGGGGGGGGTTCCTCACCCGCGATGGCAGGAAAGGACGCGGCCCCGGCGATGTCCCGCAGCACAGACTGGAGCCGCTCCCGGGCCAGGACAGGGTCGCTGCTGGAGGCTGCAATCTCCTGCGCGTCAGCGGCGCTGGCGTAGATCTCCGAGAGTTCTTCCAGCGTCTTGGACTGGGGGGAGAAGAGCCAAGACGAGAGATCGAGGGGGTCCCTCCGCAGAGGCAACGCATAGGTCTTTGGGGAAGGTCACTAACTACACCACTGGGCAAATGTCTCTCCCTTCTCTATCTCCTACCCCCTTCAAGTCTCCCCAAAACTTCTGCAAAGAAAAAAAATATGTATTTGCACACACCTAATGGGTCTTCTTCAAAAGTTTTTGCCACCCCAACCACCAAAGCAACGTGTTTCTCTGGTTAAACAAACACTTCTGCTGCATTTCAAATCCAGGGGCTCTTCCTCTCTCCACTTAGGGATGGGGAAAGGAGTAAAAGGGTAAAAGGTGAGTTATTCCCCTGCCACACTTCACAAAACAGAAGCGTAGACCTCAGGTCCAACCTGAGAGGAGAAGGGAAGGACACATATTTTTCCTACAAGAAGGGTTATGAAAACATTTTTTCTTTTGTCAATCAAATATTATGTTGGTCAGGAAATCCACCAGCCACCTGCATGAAACAGCTTCCAACAGCATCGGGGCACCACCAAAGTCGCAGCTCTCTGAGCCTACCTTCAGGAGGTGGTGCAGGCTGCCCAGGTCACAGCGGGTGCCAAAGTTGGCCTGGTAGAGGTGCTCGAGGAGCAGGACGAGCGTGGCGCGCTGCGGGTGCTCGCTGGCGCTCAGCTTCTCGGCGATGGAGAGGAACTCGCTCTGCACCTCAGAGCGGTTGAGCAGCAGCACCGTCCTGGGGACAAGGGGACAGCGGTTAGGCCGGGAAGACAGGCTCAGATGCTGGTGGCACATGAAACTCTTGGACAAATTGCCCCTCTACTTTGCTCTGGTGAGACCCCACCTGCAGTACTGTGTCCAGCTCAGGGACCACCAACTTAAGAAGGACATGGACCTGGTGGAGCGGGGCCAGAGGAGGGCCATGAAGATGCTGGGAGGGCTGGAGCACCTCTCCTGGGACGACAGGCTGAGAGAGTTGGGGGGGTTCAGCCTGGAGAGGAGAAGGCTTCGGGGAGACCTTAGAGCCCCTTCCAGTGCCTAAAGGGGCTCCAGGAGAGCTGGGGAGAGACTCTTGATCAGGGAGTGGAGCCATGGGATGAGGGAGAATGGTTTTAAACTGGAAGAGGGGAGATTTAGATGAGATATGAGGAAGAAATTTTTCCCGCTGAGGGTGGTGATCCCCTGGGGCAGGTTGCCCCGAGAAGCTGTGGCTGCCCCATCCCTGGAGGTGTTCAAGGCCAGGTTGGACGGGGCTTGGAGCAACCTGGGCTGGCGGGAGGTGTCCCTGCCCAGGGCAGGGGGGTTGGAACTAGATGGTCTTTAAGGTCCCTTCCAACTCTAACCATTCTATGATTCTATGAAATTCACGCTAGATGGCGGTGTCCTCGCACATGAGTCACAGCCAGAGGATCTCAGGGCTGTGCCGGGGTGCCAGACCCATGCTGCAGTGCCAGCTGCGGGTAGGGAGCAGGTAAGGGATGATCATCCTCCATCCTGCTCCTCGGCACCATCCTTGGCACCGCCTCTCTTGCCACATCTGCAATATCACCAGCCCAATAACTGTTCAATCAGCCCCAGAGAGGACTCCAGCCCAGCAGCCAGTTATCCTAACATCCCGCACATGCAATGAAGCAGAGGGTAGAAAATGAGAGTGGCCCCTGAAACATCTTCCCCCTGGAAGATGCAGGTCAGAGCATCACTTCTGGGCTTGAAGGAGAAGAGCCACATCCTTCAGCTGCCTTTTTGCTCTGGACCACAACATCACCTCATCATCAGACACTTAAAATTCGGCTGGGCAGGGTGCAGGGCCGTCTTGTCTCGGCTGTGCTTTTGCCAAGAAAAGTTGGACCAGATGATCCTTGAGGCCCCTTCCAACCTGGTATTCTATGAATATCCACAGGCTTTGAATTCCCACACCTGCAGCCCAGTGACCACGTGCTTCTGTTCATGGAAGAGAACGGTCCACCTCACTGAGCGAAGATGGCTCTGAATTAAGGATGTCTTGGTTCTAGAAAGCTCAGGCAACAGGCACAAGCTTTCAATAAGCCCAAGGTTCAGCTTGTGCACAGCTTTGTGCCAGGTTTTCAGGGCTTTTTATGCAAATATAGACACCCTGCTGTAAGTCAGCAGTGGTCACGCTTGCACCGGTGTGAGCGTGTAGAGCAGCAGAGCCGGACTGGGAAAGCAACACAGCAGCACCGGTGCAGCTGGGTGGGATACAGGTGCAGACCCAGAGCTGCACGGCACGAGTGGATGAGCCAAAACAGCAGGAGAGCCCTCCTGCCCGGGGTGGAGGTGGCTGTGGCTGTCCCTGGGGCTGGCACCGCCGCCGGGAAGGGCACACGCCGCCCGCGCTCATTTTCCTATTGACAAATGAGGCGCCCCGGCAGGAGGGAGGGTTCAGCCCTCGAATAAGGTGCAAAGTCCGACTGCGCTCAGGGCTGCACGGCTTTCGCTAATCGCTGCACTGGGACGGACTCGCTTCTGACCCCCTTCGGGGTGGTGGTGGCTCCCAAACAGGCAGATCAAAGCATCTCTGGGCTGTTCCCCAACGGGTGCCGAGATCAGCAGCTCCCCATGGAGGGGACTTTGCCTTCCCCGGCTCTGCCCACCCAGACCCACAGCGCTGCGGGATAACTGACATGGGGAGCCCACGGGCGCTGACCCATAGCTGTGGAAATACCACAGCCACCTTCCCCGTCCCTTCCCACAGCTCGGCCCAGCTCTCCAGCTCTTCTCCCTGGCACCCACCGCTACACCTTTGAGATGCTGCTCGCTGCAGCCCCGCTCCTGCGTAAGCAGAGTGAGACTGTGGGGATGCTACGGAGCAGCATCAGCGGCGCCCATGGTCACACTTACACGGTGGAGCTCTGGTAGTTCTTCACAGGCAGCCCCTGCTCTGTCCTCACCAGCCTCTGGAAGGAGATCCCTGGGGGAGAGAGCAGAGGACATAAGACACAGCACCACTGCAGACCTCTCTGCCTCAGGAGCACGTTGGCTTTGTCTCCTAACGCGGAGCTGGCAGCACCAAAAGTCCTTATGGGGCAAGGCACAGTCGCTGAGTAAGCACCAGCCCAGGAGCAAGGGAGCCCTGGGGTGTAAAGGGTAAAAGCCCGAAGCGATGGGAAAGCAACCAAAGGAGGAGATGGGAGAGCTGTTCCATCCCCAGTCCCTTCTGCCCCACTGCTGATGTGGGATGCGAATTGCGTGGATGATATTTAGCAGCTTTGGCCACTTGTGTTAGCCTCACCCAGGCCCTGGACCTTACTTATGGATGGACAGCAGGTCAGTGCCACCTTCCCTCCTGCAGAGAGGGAGCCCAGACCGGCCCCAGCAGAAGAGAGGCAGCCCGCGTCCCTGGATGCCATCAGGAACCTCAACCAGGTGACATCGGATGGACCTGGACTGGGTAGCAACAGGAAAGCCCGTGTCACCTCTAAACAGCCAGACTGGGGTACATCTTGGGAAACATCTTATGGCCTCAACAAGCTGCAGCACCCAGGGGGGGTGCCCAGCACCCACGGGCAGCTCACGTCGATCCACGCAGCCCCCCAACCCCGATTACGGCAGCGTTCACCTCTCTTGCAGAGGCATCAGCCCCAGTTTGCAGATAAAAGCTATTGCATTCTTGGCAAATATTGACGGCAGCTCGTTCTCAGTTAATATTTACCCTCACCTCAATAAAAAGCTTTTGCTTCAGCCTTGCGGCAGGTCACGGAGGCCGCGCAACAAGCGTATAAGGTCCTGGCCACCTTACCAGCAGAGGACACGTTTTCGTTGTTCTTGGCTCCAGTTGGGGGGGAGAGGCCATGGCGAGGGGCTCCCCAGCCCCAGCAGGCCAACATCTCCTACATCGCATCTGTCGGCAGGGTGGGGGAATCTCATATGCTTGTGGGTTGGGAAAAGCTTTTGGACCCAAGTCCCCAGCTCACACAGCCTCCGGCAGCGGTGACGGTGGTGATGGCACAGGAGCAGGAGGTAGCAAATCCCCCCACCTCCCAGCACTGGGGCTTTCCCCAAGGTCTGTAAAACACAGCTCTTAACTGGTGTCACTGCAATAAATGACCAGGAAGGAGCTGGGGAAGTCCACGGCTGCAGCAGTGTGGAATGAGCATCCCCACGTCCGTGCTGGCCCTGCAGCTCTGAGCTGGAGGCTGGAACCAGCACAACAGCCCAGCCAGACCTTGCCTGGTGGCCACGGCCATTTATACTGGTGGAGCCTTGAGCTGAGGGTAAACCAGCCGGTCCAGTGCCAACTCTGCAGAGGGGTTTGGATTTTTTTGGGTTTTTTTCATCTTTTTGTTCCTTTGAAAGCATCTTTCATCCCATCTGCACCTACAAGCTCCCATCTCCGCAGGACGTTGCTGCCGTGATGGAGACCCTGCGTTTCACGTCCCTGTTGGGGTTCTCCAAAGCAAGCGCCTGGTTTGAGGAGGTGGAGAAGCCCCCCCAGCCTCAGCCACAGCCCATGTCCCCCTCCGAGGTCTCTCAAGTCCTGCTCAGAGCCGGTGTTGCTGCCGTGGCCCTACGCAGGATTAAACAAGGGCCGAAATCTGCTCTGTGTGATAACTGCTCTCCATAAGCCACCAAAGGACGAGCAGATTAGGAGAAAGGGCTTTTTAGAAATAATTGGAAGAGCTGCTCCATTGGGAACAACAGGACATCTACGAGGAGTCCTTAATTAAGAGGAGCGCCGCTGCTGCCGATAGATGTGCCCAAAGCCGTATCACAAGGTAGTGTCTCAGCTGTAAAGAAAGAGCCGGGGAGTCCCTCAGCCCTACGGAACTCTCCACGCAAGGGCAGGCTCGAAGGCTCCAGCCACCTTCGTGCCAATGAATGGACCCACTGTTATCACCCCACTGAGCATCTCAAACTGAGCATCTCAAACAAAGCCCAGGGCTGGGCGGGAGCAGCCAGCACGTGCTTCGCCATGGAAAAGACCCACCAGACTGAAAGGCAGCCAGGAAATAGTTACACATTTTGCTAATTCATGCTGGTCCAGAGCCGGGAGGCCCTAGGATGCTCCCACCACCTTGCACGCAAGGCAGCCACCGAAAACACAACCCTGCCTTGCTCCTCCGGAGGAATTTGCTCTCATCCTGTGTCGGACCACCAGGGAAAATCATCCAGAGGATGGAGGGCAGTGGTCCTCACCGCCTGGCAAAGCTGAGGTTTGGGATGCACAAGGTAAACGTGGACTTCACACTTAAGGGATTCAGGAAGCAAGTGGGGTATGAGACAGCAACACAAGGATAATCTCGGGAACAAGCACGGGGCGGGTGTTTTTGGGGAAGCAGCACCAGCAGCACATGAAGACCCCGCGGCAGGGTGGGAGTGCTTACCGGGAGCCTTGAGCTCATCACTGATGAAGGTGAGCAGCTCGCGGAAGATGTCACAGTAGGGCACGGGCCAGGTGAGGAAGCTGTGGTACACACTGGCGGCCTTCAGGAGCAGGTCGGAGCCTGGTGGGAAGTGGGGAGCCTGCGAGGAACGGGGAGATGTGGTTGGAGCAAGGACACGGGCCTAGAGCGCTGCATAAAAACTCAAGGGTTTAGGCTGGAAGTGGGAGGAGGAGAAGCGGAAGGGAGCAGAGGTTCACCCCATGACACCCCATCCTCTCCCAGGGAAGGGTCAAAGGATCCCCACTGGGCACAGCTCCGAGAGCTTCATCCGCTCCGCAGCTTCCCAACCTCCCGGCTGCGGCTCACGTGTGCCAAAGCCTATGTATAAATTTCTTTTTAACAACCATAGATCCATACAGATGAATAGCATTACAGCCTGTGCTTTTGCAAGATCTGGCAGCAATGATTTCCTTGCGATAATGATGCATTGTGCTAATAATAATAATAAAAAAAGTATTTCCTGTGAAGGCTCCACTCCTCCTTTTCATTAGCGTTGCCTATATATTTTGCACAAGCATAAAGGGTAATGAAAAAGAATTGCCTTCTCTGCATAGAGATATTGTCCATCTCCCTTTCTGATTAGCCCATCTTTAAATAAAAAGCTTAAAACCACTGAAGCTCATTTTTTTTATCTCTCAGCTTGTGCAATGGTTGCCTGGTCTTGATCCCTGTAGATTCGTACAGGATCATTTTTTTTCTTTTTTTTTTTTTTTCCCTTTTGAGATGAACTGATCAAAGCAGACCGCGATGTTTCAGACGAAAGCCACCTCGGTTTTGGTGACTGTCCTGTGTGTCTCCATGGGGCCCTGGGCCTCCCCACGGGCTGGGATCGAGCTACGCGCAGCAGCCTTAGGACTTACATACAGGACCGCATAGTAGAAGAGCAGAGCCAGGGGCGGCACGAGATCGTAGTCACACTTCTCCTGCACCTGTAGGAAACAGCCGGAGGTCAAAAGGATGAGCTGGGTTGCTCGCCATGAGCCGTTACCCAAAAGCATCCTTGGAGGTGCCGGGAAGACACCCCAAGCGCCCAACCCCCACCATCACATCACCATCCCCAGTAGATTCCCATATCTCCAGGCGAAAATAACTCCTAAAGCCCCAGTAACCCACACTGATGGGAGGGGCAGATCAGCACAGACCATCGCTCTGCCTTTACCCTCGAGAAGCCGGATTCGGCCAAGCTCCCAGCCCTCCGGTGCTCCTCATCCTCGCAGAGTTGCACGAAATTCCATGAAAATGGCTCAAAGCAGGCGGTTCGGCGAGGCCAGCGGGCAGCCCAGCCCCGGCAAGTGGCTCGCGAAGCTCAGCGGCACAGTGCAAACCATGGATTTTTGCCCCAGCTTTGCCAGTGAACAGCCAGCAGAATTATTTCAGAGGGACACAGCGATGGCTCAAGGATACGCTTGCAGACGCTGCCTCCCCTTGCTCATAAGCACAGCACAAAGTGCAGTAATCCATTACCTAAACCCTAATGTCATAAAATGCTATCTGCAACTAGATCAATTCCAGTAATTTGGAGAAAAAAAAAAAAAAAAAGGATTAAAATGAACTGTAATAATCTTAATTATCAGCTCCGCAGCCTGGCAGCTAGACAGCCTTTTTTTTTTTTCCCCCAAAAAAATGAAAGGCAGCATTGACCCCATCACATGAATCCCAGTGCTGAGGATTTAGGAAACACATCACTCTTTACATCAAGGGATTCCTCCGAGGTGTTCCCGGCCACAGCCCGAGTCAACCCTGTTCGACGACAATGCCTCGAGCTTCTCCAGCACATGACATGACCGCGCCGATACTATCGGCCCCCCTGCCGTTTCGCCTCTCCGCTGTGCTTAACCCGACTGCCACCCGCCGGGCTGCTACGCCACACAAACCCTGCCCGTGGTCCCCAGCGTCCCAGCTCCGCTCCTGACCCTGCAGGAAGCCCGCCCGAGCCGTGGACAAAGCTTCCATCCAAAACAACCGGAAACCTTCAGTTCGCTCCGATTTGGACGAGCGGCTCCCCAGGCGCGAGATGGGAAGGTCTTGGGGAAGGTCGGCTCCATCTGCGCAGCCCTACGACCCGGGCTGCCCCCGCACGGCACTGAGCAGTGCTCCGGGAAATCCGAACCCTTCCCTGTGGATCTACGGTGCTGCCAGAAGAGCAGGTATCGGAGCTGGCATTTTCCCTTGCAGTGCCCATGTGCTGAAAGCCGGCAGGACACACAGCACTGCTCCCACCAGTGTTTCGGACCTGCTGACTCAGCATCACGCGTGTCCAAGCTCCAGTGCTCCAGCAATAAAAGAGCATGGCCAGCAGGTGGAGGGAGGTCATCCTCCCCCTCTGCTCTGCCCTGGGGAGGCCACATCTGGAGTACTGCGTCCAGTTTGGGGCTCCCCAGTTCAAGAAAGACAGGGAACTACTGGGCAGAGTCCAGTGGAGGGCTACAAAGATGATGAGGGGATTGGAGCATCTGATGAGGAAAGGCTGAGGGACTTGAGGCTGTTCTGCCTGGAGAAGAGAAGGCTGAGAGGGGATATCATCAATGCTTATCAATATCTAAAGGGCGGGTGTTGAGAAGATGGGGCCAGACTCTTTCCAGTGGTGCCCAGTGACAGGACAAGAGGGAACGGGCACAAACTGGAGCATAGGCAGTTCCATCTCCACCTGAGGAGGGCCTTCTCTGCTGTGAGGGCGGCAGAGCAGTGGCACAGGCTGCCCAGAGAGGTGGGGGAGGCTCCCCCTCTGGAGCCATCCCAAACCCGCCTGGACGCCGTCCTGTGCCACTGCTGGAGGTGCCCCTGCTCTGGCGAGGGGTGGCACTGGGGGAGCTCCAGAGGGCCCTTCCCACCCCCACCATTCCGTGATCCTGTAATACCTTACCACAACCCAAAATCACCCACCAAACTCTGCACAACTCCACTTGGGGCAAGTACCAGAGCTGATGCGGCCTCAAAGCCCGCAGCCCTCCCCGGCAGCCCCCGGACTCACCTCTTTGGCCTTGCCGAGGATCTTCTCCACGAGGATGAGGTAATTGCCGGCGTCTCTGCTCACCAGCTCCTGCAGGCTCCAGCAGTTGAGGCACAGCCCAGCTGCGGGGGAGACAGAGCCACCGTCACTCACAGCCCCCTCCAAGATCACAGGAGGGACAAACAACGGGAAGGTGTCAGGGCGAAGGCGTTCGCCACCCGCGTCAGATCACGGCAGAGGAAAAAAACCTTGCCCCCTCATTCTGGACAGATCTAATCTCGCCAAATAGTGCTTATCTCAGCGACATCGCTTCATACCCAAGCACCTTCGTGCTCTCGCTCACGCAGCCCAACGCGCTCCTCCCCAGGGCGGCTGATAGGCAACGTGCCTGCGCTGCCACGTGTGTGCTGCCACGACCAGAGGGACGTGCGTGGCATGGGTGGATGCCCACCTTCATTCTGCCCAAGCACAGAAAACCCACCGGTACGCCCCCCCCAGCCCTGACACCCCTAGCCTGAAACGCCCCAGATGCGCTATCCCAACCGTAAACTGCCTCAAACGCTGCCGAATTCAGCTCCCCGCCAGGCACACATTCAACATCCCCCCGCTGGGAGATGCTGCACCCCTCTTCCCCGTCACATCAGCATCGCCGCAGTCAGACCTCATATCAGCATCACTGTTAAACCTGCCCGGCGTTTACTCCATCTCTTAGCACCTTCACATTTTCATTAAATGTATTAAAACCCCATCAGGAGATTCCCCAGATACCAAAAGAGGAGAACTACCATGCAAAGGGATGGAGGGTCCTTCACCCCAGTTGATTGAAACCCCCCCATCCTCCATCTCCAGACATCTGCCTCTCGCTGCTGGGATCCGACCGGTGACAATGGCCCAAGGTGTTTCCCGAGGCGGCCGCTTTTCTTGGCGGTCAGGGCCACCTCCCAGATGGTCTTAAAGGAAATGATCTGCGCGAAGGCTGCCGGGCGTCTCCATTCATCCCAGCCCAGCATCCCAGGGGAGCAGGCGGTGCTCTCCGGCTCTGGATCTGCAGATCAAGAAGAGAGCAGCACCTCCTCCTCCTCCTCCTCCCCCCCCCCTTGCAGGGACCCAGGCACTGTACACAGCCCCCTGGAGAAAAAAAGGAAACGTCAAGCGAACAGCATGAGAAATATCTGAGAAGCGTTCACATTTGCATCTCCCCCATCCCACACTGCCATGGACTTTTTCACCAGGAGTGAACACAGAGCATCACACACAGCATGGTCACAGCCCCCGGTGCGGTTCGGGGGGTGCTGCCATTGGGGCTCCAAAGCTCAGTCCAAAAGCAAAACCGAGAGAAACAGAGCATCCCTCACTGCAGGGAAGTGGGGCTAATGATCTGAGAGGAAAAATAAATATAAATCCAGCCACTCTTCACTCACACGGTCCATTAAGCGGCACAGAAACACAACAAACACCAACCCATGCGTGTTGGCCGTCGCGTTGGAGCTAACAAGGAAGAAACAATGTCATGAGCTGGCAAGGAGACAGCGGTATTATTCATCACAAATCTACAGGTCACGCCGTCCATCCCTCAAACATTGTTCCCAGCTGCCAAGGCCACAAATTCATCAAACATACAGACATGTAAATGCCATAAAAATACCTTTACACACCTTCTCAGTGTTAAACAAGATGAATGTAAACCAGTACCTAAAGGGGCTCCAGCAGAGCTGGGGAGGGACTTTTTACAGGGGCATGGAGTGATAGGACGAGGGGTAGTCTTCAAACTGGAAGAGGGAAGATTTAGATGAGATATGAGGAAGAAATGTTTCCCTGTGCGGGTGGTGAGTCCCTGGGGCAGGTTGCCCCGAGAAGCTGTGGCTGCCCCATCCCTGGAGGTGTTCAAGGCCAGGTTGGACGGGGCTTGGAGCAACCTGGGCTGGTGGGAGGTGTCCCTGACCAGGGCAGGGGGTGGAACTGGATGATCTTCAAGGTCCCTTCCAACCTAAACCATTCTATCATTCTATGATTCCAAACCAGGGGAGAGATCCACTGCAGCCCAGCAGGGAGAAGGACAAGGCCAAGATAAGCAAAACTAGTCTTAAGGTCGCAAAAACACTTGTGTCTCCCCACAGAGAGGCGTTGACTCACCAGGACACGCTATTTCTATGGCTTTATGCCTAACTTGTATCAGAATTAACATGGCAGGAGCCTTTCCCCATAGGAAAGCCCCCCCCCGCCACCCGACACCACACAACTTTTGACTTCCAATGAATCAACATTTTCCAGCGGAGAACGATCCTGCTGGAAAGTTTCCAAGGAGCTCAGATGCACTTGCCATTAATGACAGCTGCAATTTTTAATTTGCCTCCGGTGCTCCCTGCATCTTGCTGGGTTTGCTGACACCCAGAGCGCAAGCTTAGATTGCGATATCTTGTCAGCGAGGGCATGGCCACAGCGACCCCGTAACTCGGTGATGCTCTGGTTTTCCTTTGAGCTGCTTTGATAAGCCAACACAACGGCACAAAGCCATGGCTCTGCCTAGGATGACTCCACCAGATTGCTCAAATAAATCAATATTGTCCCAGAGTGCGGCATCCTCCGGGGAAAGCCCCAGCACCTGCGAGATGGTCAAGAAAGCAACTGGCCCAGCAGAAGTGGTCAGAGCTGGTGGGAGCTTTGCTGACCTCGGCAAGAAGCGGCTGTGCTCACATGGTGCCTTGAAACAACCCGGGAGGATTACTTCTCCCAAGAACTTCTTCCATACTCTTCTTCCAAGTAAGAAGTGATAGAACAAGGGGAAACAGCTTCAAGTTGTGCCAGGGAAGGTTTAGATTGGATATAAGGAAAAATTTCTTCACCGAAAGGGTCATCAAGCATTGGAACAGGCTGCCCAGGGCAGTGGTGGAATCACCAACCCTGGAGGTATTTAACAGATGGGCAGACGTGGTGTTGAGGGACGTGGTTGAGTGGTGGACTTGGCAGTGTTGGGTCAACGGCCGGACTCGATGATTGTAAAGGTCTCTTCCAACCCAAACGGTTCAATGATTATTTCACCCAAGCGAGCCCGGCCCCACCGCGGCTGCCCAGGGCGAAGCCCGCCCGTGCGGAGCAGGATCCGGGAGCGCAACGGAGCCGATCTCTGGCGGGGCGCAGCGCCAGGCGAGGAGAACGCCGCTTCCTGCGCCAGCGTAACCGCAAGTACAAATAGCCCAGCAAGACACAGGCTCCTTTCCTTCCTCACACTTGTAGCGAGGGAGGAGGAAACTGCGGCGGCAGCGGCTCGCTGCGTTGTTCTGCGCTGAATGGGGCAGAGGGAGAGGCGCTGGGCTGCGTCCCCGCCGTGAAGGGGCCGGGGGAAACAGGGACGAGGACAAGGCTCGAGGGAAGCATCTTACAAATATCACCTAGACCTGAGGTCTTGTGACCCATTTTGGGGTCTTTTACAGGAACTGTGAGCTGAAGCCCAAGGATGCAGCCGAGTATATTTGAATAACGTCACTATAAGCAGAATTTCTGTCTAACTGAAGGCACTGGGATTGCCCTGGGATGAAGACAAACAGTGCCGGCAGACAGCAGGCAGCCAGGGTCTGAGCTCCTAAATTTGGCAAAGCGGCATTAACCAAAGACGCCGAAACCAGCTGCGTCCTTGCTAAAAATAGTCTCAAGCACAAAATGCAGCTTGGAAATCCCGGACACAATAAACAAAGACTACGCGGCAAAGTGAAGCGTCCGGCACCACCAGGCATCAATCAGGACACGGGATCCAGATCTGGGTGGGAATTCCCTTCCCTCCGCCCACAGTCCAGGTCACGAGCATCCACTTCCCAACCACTGGAAGCAAAATTAGTCCCTGAAGCCATACCCCCTTTATCCAGACTAAAAAGGTTGTTTGGGCACGGAGGGTGATGCTCCTAATGCGCACAGGTCAGGAACAAAAGCCCCCAGTGACATTAAAAGTAGAAAAGAGCCACCCTGCAAGCACTCTCCCTCTGCAGATGTTCTGCATCCAGCCGGGACACAGCTGGGTGCTGCGGTAGCACCCGGGGACTTTTATGAATTTATTCCCAGGCCAGGGAAAGGCTGGAGCCAGGTGAGAAACCCAGTCCAGAATGTTTTCTTTGCAGCCGCTGCTCTGTCTCGGCACACCCAAGCAGAGGGTCCGCTGCTGGTTTGGGGTGACGGGGAATCATGCCACCACGCCGGGCCAGGCCACAAATTGCAGGGGCAACGTGGGAGCGGTGTTTTACACCGAGTCAGAGCAGCACAGAGCACAAAGTCCAAACCGGGTTCGTTCCCCTGGGCCCAGGGTTGCTCAAAAACCAGCAGCACCAGACCAATCCGGGCGCGCTCCCCGTGCTGGGGTGGACGGGGGCAGGATGCTCACCAGGGGAACACAGAAAGCTTGAACCAGGCTTTCTCCTGCACTTTGCACTTGCTCTTTAGTTCCCCCCAAAAAAAAGCGTTTCTCGCTCTGAGATGCAAGGGAGACCCCAGCTGGGATGCGCTGGGATGTCCCCCCCGGCGAGCGGAGGGATGCTCCCCGCCACTGCTGCAAGCAGGGGCTGTGCTCCCCGCCGCTGCCTCTCTAGCAAGTTGTGCAAGCACTGGAAAGTCCTGTGTCGGTGGGGAAACACTTCACCTCACTCCCCGAAGCCCGTAGCAAGGCAGGGTTTGCAGAGCTCGGGCAGGCGCCTCTCGGCTGAGGGAAGCAGTAAGTAAAATCATACGCACAAACTGCCCAACACTTAAAGGTCCACGTAGGAGCTGTGGGGTGAGCTCCGGCTCTGGAGCTGTCAAGATGCACCTTGTGCAGGCAGCACAAACCAGGACTCCACCTACCATCCCTTAAATCCCATAAGTTTGTCACAAGAGGCACCAGAGACCTCCCGGGAGGGCAGCAGGAAGCTCCACGACTAAAAAAAAAACTGCTTACATCCCCCCTGCCCTCACGGCTCATCCATCCGGTTTTGCTCCACTAAAACAGCGACGCAGCCCTATTTATTTTTTCTTTATACCTAGAGAATGAGTCAGATTTATCTGCCAGCAACACAGCCAACCCCGAGCACATCGTGGTCCCAGCCGCGGGATGCTGGGGCTGCCACACACGGACCCGCAGCAGAAACAGGACTAAGCTGGGCTTATCCCAGCATCCTGCGCAGCGCGCTCAGACTCAACGTGACGCAGCCCCGAAGAAAAATCTCCCTTTGGGAGAGCAAAACCCACAGCAAAACCTCCAAGAGGAGACCCAGCGCCGGGCAGAGGCTGCACCGAGGCCCCCCATGCCGGGAGGGAGCTCGGGCGCAGTACACACTCTCGCTTTGATCGCTATCGGTGTTGACGAAGGTGCCGGCGGCGTGCCGGGAGCCGGGTGGCAGCGGCCCCGTGGGCGGCCTCGGAAGGATGAGGCTTTGCGATTTCTTTTCTGAGAAGCGCACCGAGACGCCCTCCTCCCAGCGCGGCTCCTTCCTGACCTCGGTGGTTGACATTTCCCCTCCGCCGCTCTTCGGAGGGGACAACTGTCAAGTTGGAAAAACAATAAAAAAAAAAAAGAAAGAAAGAAAGAAAGAAATAAAGCAGAAAAACCACATGCCCAAGCTGGCTTCGCCCACGGTGCTCGGGCTGGGCATCGGCTCCCGGTGCTGTCAGAAGTGACACAGCTGGAGGGGTGAAAAGCAGATGCCTCCGTTTCCTCCCTCCCCCAGCCCCGCTCCCACCATTTCCACTACGCCCTCACCAGAATAAGGTGGTTTTCTCCAAGGGACTGCCCAGAGGAAGGGCCAACCCGCAGCACTTTGTAAGCAAAGGGGTTGGAGGTGCCCGAAGCACAGGGGACAGCGAGAGCCCCGCAGCCACAGCATCCCCTCGGGATGCATCCCGCACCGGGCAGGGGACCAGCCTGCAGCTCCCGTTTCCAAGCAGCTGCTTAGAGCCCCCTGAGGAGGGCACAACGGCACCTCCCGGGGCTGGAGCCACCCCTGGTGCTTCCACCCAAGCCGGGCAGTGATTTCAGCGAGAAAACCTACCACAAGCCTGGAGAAGTCAGTTCAAAGGTTGACATTTGCGAGGTTTAGTAACCAGTGCACCTTAATTCTGCGCTTAAGAGCTGGAAGTATTTCAGACGTTGCATTTCGCTACCTGGTGACTAAGCTGGAGCATCCCCACACCACACTGCTGTTCATTCCCCGTGAGGGTATTCAGATGACTGCAACTGAGCAGGATCTTAAGCTTCTCTTCGTTTAGAGCTGAGCAGACTGAACTCCCTGGGTGCCACGCGAGATGTATCATCGAACAGTCCTCTCCTTCTCCAGCTCACCATCCTCCCTCCCCAGCATCCTTCACCCTCTCTGGCTCACGGGCAGCCCCATGGCAGAGACACAACAGCTCCTTCCCATCCCTGGGACCTGTCGGACACTTGGCTGCCCTACAGCCTCTCCAGCAGCTCTCCATCCACCACCATCCTCCAGCCCTTCTCACGCCTCTGACTCCCCAGGACGGCATCCCCGGCCCCACCAGCACCCAGACCCAAGCTCAGCACTCTCCTTCACCAAAGGATCCCGTTTCGCTGCTCACCAGCAAGAAATCCAGTATTTGTCATCCTTTAGCACTCTGTGATTTGACTATCATCTCTCCAGCAACATGGAGGAAGGCAAATGGGTTGTGCTCTCAAGAGGGTCTCCATGAGGAAGAGGTCATTCTCTTCCAGCACTTTTCTAACAGCGTTTTGTTGGGTTTTTGTTTTTTTTTTTTTAAATTTTTTGTGAGTCAGAGAATTAATTTTAATTTGGTTCCTCCAATAAACACTGCAGTTCAGGAAAGATTTTTGTCCCCAGAGCCAACCACAGGCTCATCCAGGGTATGAATCTGTGATGGCCAAAGCACTCCCACTTCTCCTCTTTGCTGACTTCACAGACCTCAGCTTGTCAGTCGCTTATGCTGGGGGGAAACAACGCATCGGAAGCGATTACTCACCCACTCTGGAGCAACCTCCTGTAAAATTATCACGTAAAAATATGGCATTAAATAATTCGAAAATGAACGAAATTCTAGCAAGGTCTCAGCCCAAAAAGCTGCGAGGTGGTGCGTGATGTTTTGGTGTAAGGAAACGGTAAAAAGGAGGGGGAAAGCAAACAAATTGGGAAATAGGAGTGATATAAGAAGTTAAAAACAAGAAAGGAGAAGGCTATGGCAGAGTTGAGAACAAGACGGAGGGATTCATTGACTACATAAGGAACAGAGCCCTGCCATAAATAACAGCCTGCATCTGACACAGGACAGCAATAATTAAACCGTTGCTTGTAACACGGGGAAGGCAGAAGAACGTGAGAACATTTCTGCTCTGTTTTTGAAAAGAAATAGGATACACAGTGAAGGGGTGTAGGTACATCTGACCATTCTGCTCCGTTTTCCCTAAATCTTATCTATGTAACTGCAATAATGAAATACTTCCTACTCCGACTGCAAAGGGGGTAGGGATGGGAAAGAGCAGCTCTTCAAAGCCAACAAGTTCCGAGCCAGCAGGGCTGGACAGCCTCCACGGGAGAGCGCTGAAGGCGACGGTCGAACAGCGCTGCCCCGGGGGCTGTCCAGAAGCGGTACCCTGGGGCCGGGGCACAGCAAAGCTATTTACATCCCATCCACCACCGGCTGCGGGAAACGGGGTTCGCCGGTCATGCTGAAGATTTTTGGCAACAGCGCAAATGCTTTTGATGAAAGGGAACTTTTCGATGTGCAAAACGCCCGAGATTCTCCCAGTAATGCCAGGTCGTTCTGCCAAACCTCCCAAAACCCACATGAAGAAGACCGAGAGCCAGCAGGCGGAGAGATAGGGGAAAATTATTAGACATGAGGAATCGCTGGGCAGCACAGCTGCTTCCAACAGAGCCCACCACCCGACCTCTGCCCCGTACAGTCTTGTCTTTGCTAATGAGCCGGAAAAATTACAAAGTCGTTTTTTAAAGGCTACCCTAACACAAACACCAGCGCTGAGGGGCTGGGATTAGAGAAGGGCAGAGTTTGTGAGTGACACAGGAATTGATTAATTATAATTACAGGAAGAGGTGAGTTATGCGGCGCACAATGAACCGCTTGGCGAGATGGGACTCCTTTGGACACACACTGTAACGGTGCCAAACGCGAGGGTCGCGCTTCCAGGAACCAGGAATGTAGGTCACACTTCAGGGCTCGTTTCCCAGAACGCGGGGAGACCAAAAGGATCCAGGAGTGATGCTGGACCCAGGGTGATGCTACAGCCCGGGGAGCTGGCATCACCCCGGCGGGCATAAGGAACCGGGCACAGCAGGGAGGGATTACTCCAGTATTTGGCAGCAGGTGGGATTACGTTTGCATCTCCTTCTTGACTTACAGGTAAACGGAAAAGCAAAGGGGGTTGAAAGAACTGCACAGACAAAAGGAAATCCGAATTTGACAGCGCCTCAAATTAATTTCTTTTCTTTCATCCGCGAGAGGATTTGGGAGTGATTTAATTGCAGCCTACAAATGTGAGCGTGAGGAAGACAGGTCAAAATGACATTCAAAAATTACCACTTCTCATCGCTGCTTTGCCCTCACCACTGCCATCCCAACTCCTTTTGCAGCCCTCTGAGCATGGGTCACGTCTTTATGGCCACCATGGTATCTGATCTAGGTTTAAATAAAGCCGATAACCATATCTCCATGCTTGCTTCTGACAATGCGGCACAGATTACACCCATAGGTTTTGAGGACTGTATGCATGAAAGCAAGACAAGGCTGGCTGATTACACAAAGGAATCTTTCCTCGTGGTAAATGAAGAAGACTCCTGTTTCCAGCTCATGCATGGACAACTGGCAAGATACTCGGCTTCTCTGCTGAGCTTTACCTATGTAAGACCTAACGTCTCTTGTTCACCGTCTTGGGCCATCTTCCTACTGCAAACGAGAGGCTCAGGAAGACTGATTAGGTTGGATCCCACTTCTCGCTTTAGCCATTGGAAGGTAGAAAAGACCTCCAAGCCTCCAGTAGCACCAGCAGCTCTCCCTTACCCCGGTGCCCAGGTAGGTCAGCGGATCATGCAGAGACAAAAGCACAGAAGAGTCTGACCGCATCGAGACTGTCAGGCGTCAGGCTCGTGGCCAACACGCTCATGGTTAGCAGGTCACCTACCAGCCCATCTGCTGGAGACAGCATCTCTGCTAAGTCCATGTAGACATCTCTCCAGTGCGTGGTAGATCCTGTCCTCTGTGCACGTGGTGTGCTGCATTTTAATTCATCTCCTAAAGACAGAGAAGGAAGAAATTTATATACTGGGCCTTAGTTCAGTGCAAGGAAGAGAGCACTGCAACACTTCTACTGCAGCACAGACAAGATGCTCGTGGGGAAGCATCACCCCATTACTACCTCCTGCCACCCCTTCCAACCCCAAAGCCAACGACGCACCCCACTCTGCTGGCTTATTGCCCCTCGGCTCCCCCGGTCCCTCCCAACCACGGCAAAGAAAAGGAGGCGCACACATCCACGACCCGATCACGAGAGGCTGTGGGGCCAAGGCACCCTCCCCGTGACGTGCTGCAGGCATATCTGCCTTCTCACAACTTCCGTCTGCGGGACAGATCGCGCCTCGCTCACGTGTTTGTGGCAAGGAGGTAATCTTGGGTTAGCCTCCATCGAAGATAACACTGCAAGAGATTACAGCTGCAGCACCTTGCAATGGGGTCGACGGCAATCATAGAACAGCCCAGGCTGGAGGGAATCTCAAAGGATCATCCAACCCAACCTGGAAAAAGTGATGGCAGAGTCCAAGCTCCTGCTCCTTGCATTAGGCACAGATCGTCCTCGATGGCTCTAGTGTCCACTGGCGATCGTCACAAACGCACTTCCAAGTGCCACGTTGGAAAGCCTCCAGCACTGTCCCCTTGCTGCCACATGCAGCCAACGTGAAGAAAAGGTTCACGTGCCCTTGTGGCAATGCAGGAAAGTACAGAGGGGACCTCATCCCCAACACCCGAGGACATTGTGAAACCGCGGATTGCGTGCCTGGCTGCAACCTTTTCACAACAGGACTCCGTGCATCTCACCTCTCCTCCATGGCACAGGGCGCACACCCAAACCGTGGGCTTGCAGGGAGGAAGGTTATATCCCACTCAATTCATATGTGTCTGTCTGGGACACCATGAAAGTACAAGCGACTTGCCCAGAAGGTTTAGTTCTCAGATCTGCCCTGACTGTGAGCAATCAAAGAGGTCCCCGGGCAGAGATTCCCCCCTCCCCTGACCCGCTGGTGTTGGAAGGGACCCCGGGGCAGGCGTCTCTCCTCTCCCAAAGCACAGAGATGGCTCCATCCCGCAGACTCTTCGCCTCTCGCTTAGCGGCAACACAAATGCACAAAAATAATCCAGCAAGAAGAAATAAAACCTGCCAATAGTACAAAACCCACCTGCCAATGAGGCCTTTGCTTACATCCCGGACAGCACGTTCCTGTACCTATACAACACATAGTTCCCAAAGCTACCCCAAAATGCTCCATTCTCTGATTTGGTCCACGTTTGATGCTCAGTATACAGTGGTGGCTGCGCGCATCACAGCTCCCCACCTCCACCCCTGCAGAAGCAAAAGCCGCTGCGATCTCGGCAGAGGCACCACCCGGTCCCCCCTGCTTGGTGCGCTCAGCGTGGCCACCTCCACCCACACTTCATTGCCGGCAATTCCCCCAAACGGGCTCAGTAAAGCCATGCCCGGCTGCTGGGGCCCCCTGAGAGCCAAGGGTCCTTCCTACGCTGGAGAGAAGCCACCAATGCCTCCAAACAGGTGAAAGCAAACCCACAGCAAGGAACCACTGACCTGCCAAATGCAAGCTCTCGCCTTTACCCCATAGAAGCTCATGGGCTCCCGCCTCTTGCGTCCCGCTGCCACAGCCTGTTATTATGGTCTTCACCAAAAGTTTTATCCATCCACAGCGGGTGCGCGAGCAACGCCAGAGAAACCCTCCGCTGCGGTGCTGAGGACTGAATGAGCGGGGAATTTGCACATCAGCACCTTAGTCATGACTTGTGGCAAGAGGAAAGCAGTGACTAAGAGCACAGCATGACTCATAAGCACCCTTTACAGCACCCAGCTCACAAAAATACACCTCCCCACACGTCAGCGTGTTTTAGAGCACAGCTCGGTCCTCGGAGGGGGGCACGCTCCTCACCGCACGCTTGAGGTGAGCCCTGCACCGGCCTGGCCATCCCTTCCCCATGCCTCTTGCATCCCAGCATAGAACAGGCAGGGAATTTAAGGGGAAAAAAAATACTACCATAGCCTTCAAACCACAAAACACAGCCTTTGGGTTTGTTTTTCCTGGTGTGCTATGGACCACACATGAATGCAAACCTCTTTTCCCAAGACAGTGCTTACGGAAGCATCTTTCATGGGAGAGGACACAGTTTGTCCACCACATCCGAGCAGAAACTTTTCAATCTCTTCTACTGTTTATTCCCCAAACTCTCCCTTCCTTCCCACCCACGCTGAGCAAGA